GCCCTCCTTGGAAGTGGTCCGACTCCCGAAAGAATAGTTTTAGAATGATCTTTCCAGAATATGATTTTTCTAGTCTAGGGGAGAGGAGATTTTACCATCGGTAAAGTGAGCTTTGATGTCCTGGGGGGGTTAGCCTAAGAACCTAGTTGCTCAGAAACGTGACCGACGTCAAGACATGCGTTTTCATGAATTCCACATGGTGATGAGGGATTCTGTGATTCGTACACTTTTTGCAGATACAGTTACCTCGTAATAGAGGGGCTACCCTCAGCTGAGGGGGGCGAATTGAGGAGGCAAACTTTGGAACCATCGCACCTCCGAGAGTAACTGTGGCTGTAACGTGATTGGCCAACTATTCCTTGCATGCTAGATGGCAAGACAAACCAGTTTTCAAGGCTTCCTTGTTTTCCATCACTTTGAGATGAATCTGTCTTCGGGATACCTGAGGTAGCATCTGTGGGGAGTTGGGTCATGGTATCCGCACAGTTTGTCCATTCAGCAAAAACTTAAGGGTAGAACGAAAGAGATCTTCATCTAGCGAATATACACTCATTTGCAAACTAATTTGGTTTTTCAAGAGACTCACCTGGAAACCAGCTGAATCTCTCGTTTGTGAAAACATCATAAACGAGGGTGTATATTCGCTAATTTCGTGCAACTTGCTTCCAAGTAGAACATAAGATTGACGGAAACCCGAGGACTGCGCCTACCTTATGAGCCCCCCAAAAAAGGGCGAAACCGGTCGTGGACTGTCGACGGATTTTCAGCAAACCTTATGATAGTACATCACAAAGATACAGATCTTTATCTACTTTGAAGGAATGGTCACTTGGGGACCTCCCGCAGTTTTAATGGTGACCTCGTCCTGTAAATTAAGACAGTCTACGCTGAAAAGCGAAGAAGCACTCCACAGTTGTTTCTTCCTTATTGTGAATCGTCAGTAGTACGCATCTCACGAAACTCAGAGAGTTTCGAACGCGCAAACATCCGGTCCTGGTTGAACACTTGACAGTTTGGCCACAAGCGGCTGATCGGCAGTGTGATTAGCTGTCACGTAGACAGTATATAGCACCACTCATCCTTAACTCCACCTCACACTGTTGATTCTCTGGTCTAACACATGCTTCTCAGATGTAAGTTTCACTCAACTAGTGAATTCCACTCTTTGTTCGCGTTGTCTAAGCCTTGCTGACAGTGTGGGATGATGAGGATTCCCCTCAGAAAAGGATGAAACAATTGTAAAGTGTTTTTCAGCATAGATGGGTTTATCTTACAGGACAAAATTTCCGTTGAAATTCACAGCTTCCCTCATACTACCAGCTTCCAGGTGTTTCACAGTGTATGTCTGCTTTCAGGATAGGAGGCTTTGTCGCCCAGGTGTTGACGACAAAAACACAACTGAATTCCTTTCAGAGGGGCTGGTAAACAATCGATGGATGTATTCCTGGACAGCGTTTGGCTTTTGACAGAAAAGCTTCGTCAATCAACATTAAAGATCGTGTATTAGGGCAAACGACAGATTTAATTGGTGCTGAATGTCACTCAGAGGTTACTGTTGGTTAGTGTGGAAGCTGCTGACAATTGAAATGGGGTCTCGAGCGCTGGTTCTCTCAGTTTAGAGTACTTTAGTCGAATATTCCTGTTGAGTGCTGCCCACAAATCTTTCTGATCTATGTGGGTTGGTAAGTACTAGAAAAATTTGACTAAGTGTCGGTCGGCAAATCCGATTCGGGCATCAGCCGTCCATCACATTACTGTTTCTGTTGGATTTCTCCTTGATTGGGAGTCTAACCGAAGATGGACATTACTAACCCATGCGATGGCCACGGCGCTGTTCCCATGCTGGCACAATCAGTAGATTCATCATCCAGGCCAACTTAATCAAACAACATGTTCCTGACCACTGTCTACCTAATCACGAAAGTGCTACCGGACTGTTCTTGGGAACCTGTTAATCCATGTCGAATTGTCAAATGAAACACGAGACGGCCTTTGTACAGCACAGTAAAAGTTGAGGAATACCGTAAGGGAGAAATTCAGTTGGGATTCTGTTAGGTTTCCATTGAAAACCAAAGTGGCAAGTGAATGAGTGAGTGTACTTCGTGGAAATCGGGTTTCTTTATGATCTGATTGCAACGTAATTAGGTTGATTATCAGAAGGTGAAGTCTCCATTGAAAACCAAATTGACAAGTGAATGAATGAGTGTACTTCGTGCAAATCGGGTTTCTTTATGATCTGGTTTCAACGTAATTAGATTGGTTATCAGAAGGTGAAAAGCACTAACAAATGTCTGTTTTATCAGAATGAGGATGATTACGAAAGTACGAAAGTACACTTGATAAAAACAAGAAGCGGATAAGCCAAAAAGTGATATATCGTTTGAGGAAAACTGTTGAGCTTTCCTGAGTGAAGTTCCGGACGCGGGACGTCTCCTCTCTGTAGTATAGCCGCCGTGCGTGTTCCGTATTCGCCCGTGGAGACTTGCGGAGCTTGTTTGACTTCCCATCCTGTGCGCGCGATTGTGTTTTTGGGCCGAGTTGCATGCCTATTTATTGTGTGTAGTGTGAAGAGAGGTGTGTTTATTCGTGTTTGATAATTGCATGAACATAAATACAAGTTGACCTGATGTGGTTGAAGTCTGGAGCGTGACGCAGATGGTAGTAGCGTAAACAAAAATGGATGAGAAATTGTGGTGTACCTACATGGGGTCGCCTAAACTTCCAAGCGGTACAGGAATTCTTACGTGATTTGAATGTGTTTTTACGCGTGATCTAGTGAGCGACCGCTACAGATTCAAGGTTGACGAAAACCTGGAGAGCGTGCCCACCTATAAAACTCCAAGAAGGGCGAAACCGGTCGTGAGCTGTCGAAGAGTTTTCAGCAACCTTATGAGTAGTATGTTGCGTCTAAACTGCAACTTATTATTCTTCCCCCATGAAATTGGTTCCAAGTGGCCGAATGTCGGCTATTAACAACCATTCAAATGAACACAAATGAGCAAAATGTTACAAACATTGAGGGTCCACTCGCTCACACCACCAGCAAGGAAATCGCACCTCTTTTTTACTTACTTCGTCTTCATCTTTCTACTTGCTCCACTTCGCAATCCTCTTTGTAAACATAAAAAAGGCATACTTAATTTCTCCATATTCGATAACGAAATGCATCCTCCAGTAGTTACCGTTCTGTCTACCTGACAGACCACAACTGTTGCTATTTCTAGCGGAAGATTTTGGAGAAGTTACGGAAGTCAACATCTTCACGCAAACCAGCTGAAAACTTGTAAGTAAATAGATCAAAACTGAACATGGGAATTTTGAAATCCCTGCAACTGTAACCATCTGTTTGGATGGGAAAACCTCTCAGATGTCGGAAGTTGGAAGTCATTACGGGGGCAGTAAGTCAACAAGTGACCGTGCGGTAGAAATTACGTGACTGAATAATGAGTGGCGCGGTATCAACCGCCCGTCGCCGAACGGTTAATCGAGCGAACTGCTAGCCGGGAAGCGGCAAAATGGCTCAATGGTTAGAGTGCGAATTTACTGACCGGAAGGTCCATGGTTCGAACCCAACCTCAACCTCGGCCTCTCGACTTCCTCTGCCTTGGCTTGGGCAACCTTGCAGTAACCTAGCCTTCGCGCTTCCTTCGGGTGGCATGGCAGCTAGGCACCGAAAGGGTGCTACAGCGGAGTGATTATATTCTTTGGCCCAGAGGCCGTGAGTTCAAAACTTTCCGAGCTTCGTGAAATACACAGTGCTAATTATCCTCAGTAAGGATGAGACAGCTGTACAGAAATTTTCGGCTCTTCAGGATAGACTGACTTTACTCACGGAATGAAACCTCAGGTGAAAATTTCAAAATCTCCTCACACTACCAACATTAAATCTACACCGACCTGACTACTAAAAACAGATTTGTTTTGCCTTATGTATCCAGCGGCCGGCACCGCCTTGCGAACAAACAAGGGCCTTGTTTTCAAGTCCTTCAGGAGGGGAAGCCGGTGCGTAGGAGTCTTCGGGTTGACCGATATAACGTTGGTGAGGGAGCGAGGAACCAACAGGCTACAGCGAGCTCCATCTAAGCCCATCTTCGTGCTCAGGGAGATGCTTTGGAGTTTAAAAAACACCAAAATAAGTAGCTTAGCGGAAGAATAAATTTACAAGTTGGGTGAAACTTCCAGCCAAGAAGTCATCACTCAAGGAGCCAGTCAGTAAGCGAGTACGTGAGGCGGTTTCCGGAATCGATGGATGAGTGGTGCCAGGCGCTGAGTGATAGGTACAACGCTGAGCAGTTGCTCGAGGCCCATCGGTGAAGTGTTGAACCACAGGCGAAAATGTCACGGGTTCGACACTCCGTACACTCTGAATTCGCATGATATGCACAATGCTGATGATTCCGGTTAGAACAGAGTAACCGTCCAGTGCTTCTCGGCGTTTCAGAGTGGACTCAGTTGAAAACACCAGAATAGTCAGATTCCGAACTATGCTAAAATAGCCGCATATATAAAAGTTTTACTGATGGTTCCTAGGATGACCATTAGTTGCAGTGCAGTCTGAGATCCACCACACACCATTCTGCATGAGAACAGGCCTCACTGATCAGATTTTTGTTCCCAGTTGCTTGAGTTTACAGGATGTGGAGGCTCTGAAAAATTCAAGCGAAAATTTCATTCTTCCTATCCCCATGGCGTCCGGTATTCAGGAAACGAACCCAAGAATCTTATATTATGGGAATTCGTTTGTAGCTAGGGTATGTGGTTTTTGTGCGGCAAACAATGTCGCATTTTTTCTGAAAATGATCTTGTACGGTACAAACCTCACAGTATGGTACCAACAGGCTCAAAGGGCCATGAACAAACTCGCCCATAAAACTAGGATAATTATGACCTCAGGTAATCCATTTTTATGAATTTTATGAAATCACTTCTGATCAAAAGACGTTTTTAAACAGTTATGCGTTAGCTAAATGCAAAGTGCCTCGTCTTTTCGCCTCATTTAGGTATGGTCCCCGTCGCCTGTATCGTATTACACAGTGAGTCGGAAAAACAGGTAATTAGTGGCACGGATGTTTTGTGTGCACGCGGCCAACTGGCCCGCTTTCGTGGCGGGTAAGCAAACATCTGAGTCATATATCCACTCAACCCACAACGCTCACGTGCTCGGATCAATCGGACACGCAGCCAATCAGCCACTCAAGTCACACGCCAGATCGATGGTGGAACGCCGAACGGACACTCACACGCGCAAACTCTCTGACACACCGAAGCAGCTACTACAAGAACATAGCCACAAGTCCAGGTTGTTTTAAGGTTTTCTCGTAAGACAATATTTATCACAGGTTTCCCATTACTTGACCTGTTTAAGTGGATAATTTCTGGATATTAATACCACGTTTCATTCACCTTTGGTCCATATATTTATAAAATAGTGTTAATCTACATGGGGTCGCCTAAACTTCCAAGCGGTACAGGAATTCTTACGTGATTTGAATGTGTTTTTACGCGTGATCTAGTGAGCGACCGCTACAGATTCAAGGTTGACGAAAACCTGGAGAGCGTGCCCACCTATAAAACTCCAAGAAGGGCGAAACCGGTCGTGAGCTGTCGAAGAGTTTTCAGCAACCTTATGAGTAGTATGTTGCGTCTAAACTGCAACTTATTATTCTTCCCCCATGAAATTGGTTCCAAGTGGCCGAATGTCGGCTATTAACAACCATTCAAATGAACACAAATGAGCAAAATGTTACAAACATTGAGGGTCCACTCGCTCACACCACCAGCAAGGAAATCGCACCTCTTGGTTACTTACTTCGTCTTCATCTTTCTACTTGCTCCACTTCGCAATCCTCTTGTAAACATGAAAAAAGACATACTTAATTTCTCCATATTCGATAACGAAATGCATCCTCCAGTAGTTACCGTTCTGTCTACCTGACAGACAACACCTGTTGCTATTTCTAGCGGAAGATTTTGGAGAAGTTACGGAAGTCAACATCTTCACGCAAACCAGCTGAAAACTTGTAAGTAAATAGATCAAAACTGAACATGGGAATTTTGAAATCCCTGCAACTGTAACCATCTGTTTGGATGGGAAAACCTCTCAGATGTCGGAAGTTGGAAGTCATTACGGGGGCAGTAAGTCAACAAGTGACCGTGCGGTAGAAATTACGTGACTGATTAATGAGTGGCGCGGTATCAACCGCCCGTCGCCGAACGGTTAATCGAGCGAACTGCTAGCCGGGAAGCGGCAAAATGGCTCAGTGGTTAGAGCGCGAATTTACTGACCGGAAGGTCCGTGGTTCGAACCCAACCTCAACCTCGGCCTCTCGACTTCCTCTGCCTTGGCTTGGGCAACCTTGCAGTATCCTAGCCTTCGCGCTTCCTTCGGGTGGCATGGCAGCTAGGCACCGAAAGGGTGCTACAGCGGAGTGATTATATTCTTTGGCCCAGAGGCCGTGAGTTCAAAACTTTCCGAGCTTCGTGAAATACACAGTGCTAATTATCCTCAGTAAGGATGAGACAGCTGTACAGAAATTTTCGGCTCTTCAGGATAGACTGACTTTACTCACGGAATGAAACCTCAGGTGAAAATTTCGAAATCTCCTCACACTACCAACATTAAATCTACACCCACCTGACTACTAAAAACAGATTTGTTTTGCCTTATGTATCCAGCGGCCGGCACCGCCTTGCGAACAAACAAGGGCCTTGTTTTCAAGTCCTTCAGGAGGGGAAGCCGGTGCGTAGGAGTCTTCGGGTTGACCGATATAACGTTGGTGAGGGAGCGAGGAACCAACAGGCTACAGCGAGCTCCATCTAAGCCCATCTTCGTGCTCAGGGAGATGCTTTGGAGTTTAAAAAACACCAAAATAAGTAGCTTAGCGGAAGAATAAATTTACAAGTTGGGTGAAACTTCCAGCCAAGAAGTCATCACTCAAGGAGCCAGTCAGTAAGCGAGTACGTGAGGCGGTTTCCGGAATCGATGGATGAGTGGTGCCAGGCGCTGAGTGATAGGTACAACGCTGAGCAGTTGCTCGAGGCCCATCGGTGAAGTGTTGAACCACAGGCGAAAATGTCACGGGTTCGACACTCCGTACACTCTGAATTCGCATGATATGCACAATGCTGATGATTCCGGTTAGAACAGAGTAACCGTCCAGTGCTTCTCGGCGTTTCAGAGTGGACTCAGTTGAAAACACCAGAATAGTCAGATTCCGAACTATGCTAAAATAGCCGCATATATAAAAGTTTTACTGATGGTTCCTAGGATGACCATTAGTTGCAGTGCAGTCTGAGATCCACCACACACCATTCTGCATGAGAACAGGCCTCACTGATCAGATTTTTGTTCCCAGTTGCTTGAGTTTACAGGATGTGGAGGCTCTGAAAAATTCAAGCGAAAATTTCATTCTTCCTATCCCCATGGCGTCCGGTATTCAGGAAACGAACCCAAGAATCTTATATTATGGGAATTCGTTTGTAGCTAGGGTATGTGGTTTTTGTGCGGCAAACAATGTCGCATTTTTTCTGAAAATGATCTTGTACGGTACAAACCTCACAGTATGGTACCAACAGGCTCAAAGGGCCATGAACAAACTCGCCCATAAAACTAGGATAATTATGACCTCAGGTAATCCATTTTTATGAATTTTATGAAATCAGTTCTGATCAAAAGACGTTTTTAAACAGTTATGCGTTAGCTAAATGCAAAGTGCCTCGTCTTTTCGCCTCATTTAGGTATGGTCCCCGTCGCCTGTATCGTATTACACAGTGAGTCGGAAAAACAGGTAATTAGTGGCACGGATGTTTTGTGTGCACGCGGCCAACTGGCCCGCTTTCGTGGCGGGTAAGCAAACATCTGAGTCATATATCCACTCAACCCACAACGCTCACGTGCTCGGATCAATCGGACACGCAGCCAATCAGCCACTCAAGTCACACGCCAGATCGATGGTGGAACGCCGAACGGACACTCACACGCGCAAACTCTCTGACACACCGAAGCAGCTACTACAAGAACATAGCCACAAGTCCAGGTTGTTTTAAGGTTTTCTCGTAAGACAATATTTATCACAGGTTTCCCATTACTTGACCTGTTTAAGTGGATAATTTCTGGATATTAATACCACGTTTCATTCACCTTTGGTCCATATATTTATAAAATAGTGTTAATAAATTTTAATTACTAATTAGATATATTAATTCATAAAACAAAACTAAATAATTAGTAATCAGTTAATATATTTATAAATTCTTAGTTAGTTAATACCCCCATTTCAAGTTACTTTCACTTATTACTGAAGCTGGTTGTAGCGTGGGGCGTCGAGAAGTCAGCGGTAATCGACGTTCGAGAGGGTGTAGCGACGGCACACGTTGGTTCTGAAATGTGCCGATATAGAGATTGGCATAAGTGAATCCACACGGCACACATTCGCACTGGTCGGGTGACGCAGGAGAGAAGGCCGAAGCGTGGCAAAAACACACGTGCATTCAACCGAAACCGAAACTGGAAGACGGGGGTACAAAGTCAGGTCAAGGTCAATCAGGGGGGGTGTACAAGAGGGTTACTCTTTCCTGCCCGGGGCTCGTGGTGGCTCGTCCGTGGTACCTGCAATAGGGAGAGGGAGAGGGAGAGGCACGTAAAAGCTTATATGAGAGATGTCAAGCAGATAAGTCGAGTGTCAAATGTGTTACATGGTCGTGATAAGGTTTTCCCGCTTTGAGCGGAATGACGGTTTGCGACACAGTGGAAGAGGCGCACGGTGCAACAAACTTTGGGAGTCATTGTACTGTTCCCAGAAAATTATTTGGAATCCTAATAAAAGCACCGTTTCATGCTTCTACCCATAGCGTCGGTGATTCATTTGACGTTGCAAAAATTAAGAAAGTTTACTTTGTCCAGCACCGTCGAGCTTAGCTTTTTCCTCCTAACCTTGCTGGAGCGTCTGCTAGAGTTTACGGTGGATTTTAATTGAAATACTCAAAAACTCCTGATAGGTTTTGTCACAAACTGAGAAACTACACAATGCCATTCGAGTCACCTCATGGATCTAATCGATAACCATCCTTCAGATACGGTTTAAATCTGTATTGTCCATGTTTGAACATTGCTACTAGATCAGCACTAATTAACGCCCACTGACAGGTTGAATTTTCCGTAGGAGCTGACCGCAAATACTGTGCAAAGCTGAACTTCAAAAATCAAATGTTTCAGATGCAGCACCCTTTCAGTGCTTAGCTGCCCTGTCAATGGAAAGGGGAACGAAGGCTGGGATATTACCAGGTTTCACAAGCCTAGACAGGACCGTCTGAGATTCTGAGGTTGGGTTCGAACCATGGACCTTCCGGTCCGTAAGTTGGTGCCTTAACCAATGAGTCAACTTGAGCCCAAAGCGGAAGCCCGTAGACCATGTAGCGGACGAGGTCCTTATCAGCGTGTTCGGATAAATTAACAAGCAAAGTAACCAATATAAATTCACAAAATCACAATAGGAAAGGAATGAGTAGCCAAATGGGGACTCACGAATGTGTAGATACAATAGTCCACTACACCGATCCAAATGCAGTAACTGGATGTGAAAGGAAATATTCACTTGTCGGAATTTCCCACAGATGGTTCCGCGTGCGTGATATATTCCACGGTAGGAAAAATATTCACGGCTAAAAATATCACAGGTATTTATTGTGACGTTCGACAGTTGACACAGGCACAGAGATTTGGTCCCACTGGTTCAGCAATCAGCAGACAGTTCAACGGAGCGTAAATACACTCGTTCAGCAAGAAGTCAGCAGATCGCACCGGAAAATTGTGTATTCGTAACATTAAAACAAACGTCATGATACAACGTGAACGACAGTTACAAAGTGTGATTTAAGTTCAGGAAGAATGGTAAATGTGACAACGGATTACATACACTACAACCACCAGCAACAAAACTGATCGTTTGGTCTTCAAACAAGCCTCAGTTATCCATCGAACGGCGCGAGACCCTCTCCATTCGAAACACATCACCAACAAGAATGCAGCCTATTGACTAGAATTTACGTAAATCATGCTGAAAAGTGGCTTATGCAATGTTCATTAGCAATCATGGGGACCATATCAGTGC